AATCATAAATTTAATATGAAATGATGAAAAATAATCATAGAAGTAAACATGATAAATGTGACTAATTCAAATATTCAGATCATCTGTAATTTATTCACGGCGTGTTAAAACTTGGGACTGTAGTTTGAAAACACTTTTAAGGTGATTCAAACGAAACGTAAATAATATGTCACAACCTCGAGATGTTTCTGCCTCGACGACTGTCCGGGAAATGTGACAACAAATTACTTACATCCGACTGTCTTAAATGAATAAAAAACAGAAGACACAAACTTAGTGAAACGTCATTACTATAATGTAATGTGCATTACAGAGAAAATAACTTCTATCCGAAAACGAGCGCAGTTTCAGGAATATTATTAGCGAACTAAATTATATATAAAATAATTAAAAGCAGATGTAAGGCAAATAACGTCACTTTGCAAAAATCATCTCAAATTACATAAATTTTTTAATATAAGCTGTATTATTCATTTTATGCCAAACATTGTTAAATTGAGAAAAAGTTGAATAAGAAAAGAAAATCGCCACTTGAACTGAGTCAAGTTTAGTTACCATCAACATTGATTCTTGATGGTAACTAAACTTGCATTCTAACCCGTTCCACTCGGTTGACGCACCCGGTAGTTTGTATTCACAATGACACAGTTCTTAAAGCGTCGTATAGAATAGATCAAGGAGGAGCAAGGAGCGGCCCGTGGGTATCATGCGGCTTTTAAAATATATTTCGGCCCCAAGAATTTCTAAAGTAAAATTTTATTTACTTTTTTAACATTTTCCATCAATAAATCAAACATGATATATTTTTTGCTTTTAGCATTAATTTATGAAATTTTTTGCTTTTAGCATTAATTTATGAAATTTTTTTTTAATTTAGTATGTTTATATTTTAATGTATATAGTATATACCAAGGCTACCCAATTTTGAAAATCAAATGCGGCTAGTAAAGAAAAAAAAATGTAGCTCATTCTTAGAATAAATCTATGCTGTAACAAGACAGTTCTTTTTCAAAATTTACTATTAGTTATTTTTAATGTATTTTTCACCTTTTTTATTATATAATTTTGTTTTTCTTAATTCAGTAAGGCAGACATATAACAATCGTTTAAACAATATACATATTATACTTTTCTGTAGAATGATGACAAAAACTGTCACGATGCTACAGGATGCGCCATTTATATGTGGTCAATGAAAATCTTGAATAACTTTCAATTTTGATAAACTTTTTTTTCAAATTTAAGGTCTTACAATTTTTTCAGCGTCAATTTGAGAATCCACCCTCAATGCCTCTTGGAAATTGCTTCAAACTATAACATGCAGCAGAAAATAATTTTTATATCATTGTAAATGTACAGTTTTCATTGTCCACAACATTACAAAAATTGCATAACATACACATGTTTACAGCAGGCACGTTTTCGTCAGAATGCGGCACCGAGTTGCTTGTAGATTGTTTTAATATTGATCAATAAAGGATAGAAAATAATCGAGTGTACTACAATGCGTCAAACAACGGGAATTCTATTATAAAAAAATTGCTAAATTATTTTTGATATTACTTAAGCTGATATAATTGGACAAAGAATTGCATTCGTAATAATAATGCAATAAAAAAATTATGTACGAAACACAAAGTATTAGAAACTTGGCTGAAGTATACAAAAACTTCGAGATCTTCGCAAAAGTTCAAAATCAGTAACAATAATGGTCATGCTTACTTTTAAAAAAATGTAACGGCAAATTACATATTGCGAAAGTACATAATACGACAGTGTAATACATGATACCTACTCCCCATAAAACCACTACCTTCAACGATCGTTAAAATAATCATGAATTAAAATCATATTTTTATACTTGTTGAATCAAGATATTTGAAAACGACTGAATATTCTTTCTGTGTCGTAGCTATATCGCGCACTATTTTAATTTTTCCAGTTTTTGATATGGGACCCAAAAAATTAGTGAATAAAATTGTAATTATTATTAAAATTTACTTAGGAATTTGTATTTATATATAGAATTTGATGTGCATATACCTAGTGATTACAAAATACCAAATTTGACAACTGAATATTAATTACGGTAATTTTCCACCATTTATACGACGTATAGATCTGCTTTTCCCAAAAACTAATTAAAACACTATCTGCGTTTTAGCTATTATAAGTAGTAGATTACTGAATATTGGTTATTACTATTTCAAGTTAATATATTATTGCGAATTACTTTTATCCGCTGGTTAGTAGTGCATTCAACTGAATGTTACTACTAATAAATGTATTATTCACTACTAAATATATTTTCCCAAATTGTTGATACCCCCAGTATAATTAATACAGTATTCATTATAATATCAAAATTTAGACAAATTCATTTTCAGTTTGTTAAAATTTTTGATAAATAATCAGTTTTATCAGATTGTTCGCAATTGTGAAAAATTATAGCATCGCCTCTAAAGCAAACAATTATTGAATAATAAACATATTCGTTTCCGTGATTGTGAATTATTTCATAATGACTGTTTTTATTATGAGTTTATGCTTAAAAACAAAAGTGCTTATAATGAACGCTTGTGTAATTATTTGCAACATGAAAATAGATTATCGAAGCAATTGTTTATGTTTCAAAATTATTTACACATGCAATAAAATTAATTAATACGTGCGCAATAATTATACAAAAGAATATAATCATAGAAACAGTAAATTGATCGGCACAAAAATGAGATTCGATGTTTTAATAAAAAAATAGTGATTTTAATTATTTTGCAATAACAAAACAAAACACACAGGCACGTACACCTACACCCACACTCATATATATATGTAAAATTGTCGTATTTCTAGGCCGTTAGGCTGAAATAAACAAATTATATATATATATATATATATATATATATATATATATATATATATATATATTAGATGACCCAACAACGTTGTCCTGTACCCAGTTCCAAATTTTTCAATATCCTGTCCTATACTTTTTAATATTCTACTTAATTTCCTTCCATTTATGGCCTTAGCATAAGCTTTATACGTATAAGAAACTGCAGTTTGATCAGAAAGAATAAATATAGTAACTACGGTAAAAGAATAATATCGCCTTGTTATTTTCAACTAATATAATTGCTTCAATAATTTATATAATATATAATAGTCTAGAATTTTTACGATCGCGTACCCTATATTAGTTGCTTTTTAGCAATTGCAATTTATAAATTAAATTTTTCTTACTGATAATTTAATAAACATTATTACTTTAGTAAAAATCTTAGGTGACTTAATTCGTAAAATCTAGTTTATATGGCCCTGTTCAATCTAAGATTTTGAACTTACTAAATATTTCATAACCAATTACAAACGAATGATTTTTTGACACATGAAACAAAATTCTAAATCATTTTGTCAATAAGTAGAAATATTAAATAATTCAGTAGAGTAAAGCAAAATAAAATATGCATAAGTTTAAAGAAATAATGTTTATGCAATTTTGGACGTATTTTGTTATTTATTAAACTGAATTATATTTTCTGCTGCCAAACATAGATTGTATCTTATACTGTTTTAATTTCTGGCATCTCAGCCGGTTTTTGGAAATAATATTGTAGATATTATATTCTTCTTGTTTATAATCATGAATATGGATATTCATGCTAATTCATAACTAAATTCAAATTTCAAGTGAATCGACATTTTTCACAGATGACAGTTTTTATGTATCAAAATGTTTTCAACAATTTTTACATTACAAACATTTATTTCTACAATATTACTATATTTTTATAATCACATACATCAAAAAAAAATCCCTTAAACTTCTGGAAGATTTATCAAAATCCAAATAATCGTTTAGGAGGAGTATATTTACATACATCATTACAGAAGATTTTTACATATAAGATATATATGGGTTCAAATTACTAATTTCAGTTTGAACTAGTGGTGTATGGCATCGTGCCGTAAGGCAAATTGATAGAACTTCCCGTACCGTGACGAAATGATCAAGAAATATTAAATGTTTTTATATAGATTTTTATAAATATTGTAACACTTATAAGAATTATATAAACTGACTTGCAAAGTTAAATTTATATGTTTCAAGTAATTAGAACAGAATTAAAATTTAAATCTGAATTATTTTCTATAAACAAAAAAAAATTCTTGAAAAAAAAATTTTTTTTTGAAAAAAAATAAATAAATTTGAAACAATTTTTTTTCTCAAAGCAATTATTTTGTTGAAACAAGCAGAAAGTTTTTTGAATAATTCAAATCGGACGCTTAGTTCTCTCAAAAACTGTCATTTTCTGCACATTTAGTTCTGTATCTCCAAAATGCCTGGACCTGCATTTCCTGAAAACTAATCACCTCTTCTCCTAATCATTATAAATTGAATATTTTTTATATCATTCAAATCAGACACACCGTTCTCTCAAAAACTCGATTTGTATTTTTTGCACTCTTTGCTGCGTATCTCCGTTAAAGCTGGACCTGCCTTTGCCAAAAACTAATCAGTACATCTCCCTATCAATAGAAATGAAATGTTTTTTGAACCATTCAAATCGGATGATCCGTGCGCCCGAAAACGTGGACGAAAAAATGCGAACATACAAAACACACACACACACACACAAACATACACACACATCCATTTTTTCTGAGGTATGCCAAAATGTTCAGAAACGTTCAAAATGTCGAAAAATGCAAAAATCTTCATTTTCAATTTTCGGCAAATTACTATAACTACCCTACGGGAAGTTAATTAGTACACTAAGCGAATAAATTATGCTTTATTATTTGCATCCTCATCAATAGTAACATTAATTAAACTAATGAGCTTATTAGAATTTTACATAAATATTAAGAACGGCTCATTCAAAATATTGTTCAAAACACATGCAGATTGTCAGAGAAAATAGGATTTCATTAATGTGAAATTAATATATTGATATTGTATTATTGAATATAATTAAAGGTGTTTGTGGAATACATACCGTTAATAAAATTTATTATATCACTTATTACACTTTCATATGCAGTCACTTACACTAATGACGAAGATTAAACACGTAATTATCATGGTATAAAAAATCACAATGTATGGCTTCAAGACGAAGTGTCAATTGCCACATGAAGACTAAAATGACATTATCGATGAAAATGGCTATCTGCTGGCATGAGGAGTAGTGTGAACTATGCTGAATTTCATAAACGCGCGCTATTTGAATTTAGTTTTACTTACTTATTCTTCATCATCAATTTTTATTCGTTAATAATAATTCCTCGATATCATCACAGTTAGGAGAAATTTTAAAACTTGTGTTTTATCAAGTTCTTATAAATAATTGTGTAATTTTAATTAATATTTAATCATCTGTATGTTTTTTTTAAATAGTTGTTGTAAAATTTGATGTATTTTTATCATTGTCTAGAAGTGCACCTAAGTAGTTCCTTAATTTTGCTTTATTTTTATAGCTGAAGATAAAGATAATAATTTTCCAAGCAAGTAATACATGAGTCTTTGCTACCCAACGATTAGTACACACAAATTTAGCTACTTTTATTAAGGTGACCATATTTTTTTGCATGGGGGGGGGGGGGTGTTAGTTAGCTAAAAACTTATATGCGCATTTTTCCGGTTCAAATTTTCTAGTTGAAATATTTGTGAAAATTTTTTAATAAATATTGGCAATTCAAACATTTTTAAAAATCCGGGACAATCCGGGACAAAACACCTACAACCGAGGCAAATATTGTTTTTAGAAAAAGCCGAGATGCAAGGCGGAAAATCGAGACTGTCCCGGTCAATCCGGGATGTATGGCCACCTTACTTTTATCCTTATGCCCAGATTTTTTTTATTACTAACACACACATAAATATATATGTTGACATATGTATTAACAAAGTCTAATAATCGGGCATAATATAATTTTCTTTTCGAATATATATTCTAAAATTATACGTTTCGGCTACGAAGAATGAACATCCATTGTTTGAGTTTATGGAAATGCACTAACCTATATAATATAAACGTTAAATTAGTTGTCTTTTTAACAATGTTTTACAATTTTGCTAACATATTTTTTACAAAGAGGTAACTGTGTAATATTTGTGTTATCTGTGAACTAGCTGGAGACTAAATGAAGTGAGCATTTACAGAAAAAAACATTTTTACCACGATTCTAAAGCATGTGAAACTAATTGTGAATTATTTAAATACTATTCAGATAACAAATATAATTAGATAATAAACAAACTAAAAACATTTTTTTAGTTATTATGATCTCGTCATGAATGGTTAAAAAAGATTCTTCTCATACGCGTCTTTTGAATAAATTTTTCCAGATCAGGTTAAAAAAATCTTAGATTCTTTCAAATGTCAAATTCATGTTCATCATTATTAGACTTTGTTATATATATATATATATATATATATATATATATATATATAATATTAGCAAGCGTTATCAAATATTAGAACCTGTAGTAGTTGTTTACCAGTAATTACGAAGGTCTGATGCGAAATCATAAAGACATTATTAAGGATAATGAATATTCAAACGATATAAGGGTTCCTCAGAGGCGCCTCGCTCCTAATTTCCTAACAATCCTGTAAATTTGCCAGCGACCAGTTCGCATTATTATTCACTTGTCACACAAGAACAAACGGCGAGAATTAATCCGGCGACGATGCGAAGCGAAATATATCAACGTATGCATAACAATACGTTAGAGTCCGCATAAGTTTGAGAGAAAAAATAAACATGCAGAGCGCGGGGACCGTCGAAATGAAATATGTCTGGTATCCTTCCAGTTACCTTACGAGGGCAAAAAGGAACGTAAATACGCATTAAATATGCAAAGCCTCCCCCGGGAGGCTATATCTTAGAGGACGAACATCGCGAGGACTGCAACTCGCTTATAAATATGTACCTATGCATATTCCAAATGTTTTTGCTAAGCCAGGCGACGTCAATATCTAATACGCGATACGCTGTTCTGCATACGCGAGCACACTATGTTTGATGAGAGTGCCTCGTGAGTATTACTTAGCATTGCATACGGGTATATGCGCTTTTCCTCTGAACTACATCTCTATGTTGTATATGTGCTACAAACAATTTTAATCAAAATACAGCTTGGTGTTTTTAAATTTGATATGCATTCAGACATATTTGTAAAATGTGATGGTTATTTTATTTATAACGCCAAATCCGCAAATCAATGTTTAATGATTGAATATTAGTTTTCACTAGTGGGGCGCATGGCATCGTGCCTTAAGGCAAATTGCTGGAACTTCCCGTACCAAAATATATTATTTTTTTAAAAACGATTAACATTTTTGAAAAAAATTACTTCGAAAAAATTAGATTTTTGAGAAACTATAAATTTGACAAAAAATTACTTTTTTTTGAAAAAAAAATGTTTTCTTCATTTTGACATGTTTTGGAAATTCTGAACTTTTTTTCAAAGCAATCGTACTGCTTGAACTGCATAGAGACGAAATGTCAAAGCGCGAAAGTGCCGGGCCGTCGTCTAACGGATAAGCATAGGTACGGAACCCACAGAAATGTAAAAAGAAATTATACTTATTGTAAAAATCTCTATAAAATTCATGATAATTTGATGTGCATATGTCTAATGATCATTTTTGACCGCCAAATGGCATTTTTTTTACTTTTTTTATTAGATCTCCGAAACCGCTAGACCTGCCTTTATGAAAATTTGATCAATTCTTCATCTACTCAATACAAGTAAAATATTTTTTGAATTATTAAAATCGCACGCTCCGTTCTCTTAAAAACTGAGTTACCATTTTTTGCACTTTTTGCCCCGTCTCTTCGGAACGGCTAGACCTGCCTTCGCCAAAAACTAATCAGCACGTCTCCTTATCAATACAAATCGAATGTTTTTTGAATTATTCAAATCGGTTGATCGGTGTTCCAGAAATCGTCGACGAAAATTTGTATCCGCACACACATACACACACGCACACACACACATACATACACCATTTTTTTCTAAGGCATGCCAAAATATTCAGAAACCTTTGAAACGTAAAGATATATAAAAATTTTCATTTTCGATTTTTTTGCGATGTTTGTAACTTGCCCTACGGGAAGTTAATAATAATATGTAACAAACTTTGAGAAGTCAGACGTAATGAGCGTGTACTGTTCATAGAATGAACAAAATGTTACCCATTAAAAAAGATAAGATACAGTGGTACCCCGCACAACGCCTGCATCGCACAACGGATGCTGCGCATAACGAACTATGTTTTTCGGGCGCGAACGTTCCATACAACAAACTTTGCTTCACATTTGTAGTCAAACACACTTTGCTCAAATAATATACTTTTTGGAGAATAACAAGTTAGAGTTATAAAAAAATATACTTGTTGGAGAAAAAATCTCACACTTTAATCTCTCACTTTATTTTTTTTATTATTATTAAAGCTATGATTCTGTTTTAATTAACTTAATGGTTTATAATGCCAGTTATTATATAAACAAACTACTTAAAATTGATTGCAGTAGTCTTTTAATCTTCATACTTAATTAATATCCTTTTTTACATTTTTAGCGGACGGTGTTGACTTTTTGCAAAGCTCATATGGATTTTTTTTTTGGATATTCCACAATTTCTGTTTCTTTTCCTCTTAAAAACTTGATATCAGTATTTCTAGTTGCATGCATAACTGTGAGCACGAACATGATAGCAAAACTGTAATCCAACATGCAAGCCATAATATTGAGTCCACGTTTTACCATCATTGTATCATCTCTCGCTACCCTACATTCGACTAACACGTAATAACTTATAATTTTTGGTAATTTTTTGAATAGGAAGTGCTCAAGTGAATTCCAAACGAAAACCATTAATATTTCAATTCCAAATTTGCTAAATACAAACTGAAAAATATCGTTATTTGTATTATGGAATTATTGGATGTATAATTGTCTTTTGTTACTTACCTCTATAATTTTGATCAACACTTCATTAATTCTTCTAAATTGTCTCGGATAAATTATGGTGTCACAGAATAACAAATACAACCCATAAAGAAATATATACGATGGTAATAGTGGCGCCTCGTGTACTATAGGCGATAAATCCGCTGGTATGAAAAAATTATATTTTAGATATTCAAATATTGCTGCTATTAACACGGCTGATTTTGACGCCATGGTAATTAAAATATGCTGAATTTAGACTATTTGACAACAAAACAATTGAATCATATTTGATTTGATTAAAGGTATTTAAAAAAAAACAAAAATTTATTTGTTGGAGCATTTGTTGAATGGAACAATTATTATTACAATTACAATATTATTATACAATATTATTAACAATATTACAATTATTGGGTAATTAACATTCACATCCCAAAATTATTGATAGAAATTTGAAAGAGGATGATCAAAAACCGAGGAAGAAAGGACCAGTTAGAAGAAAGAACCATACATGACTTTTCAAATGGACAGAAGTGAAAGAATTCGTAACTTTTCTAACATGACTGAGGCTTAGAAGACCAGAAATTTGTACAATGATAAGCTTGACTATTTTTAAATGTTGCTGTAGACAACTATCGATAATTTCTTTAAAAATTCAGGAGCTAAATAGGCAAACAGGTAGCGCTACCACTCTGATAACAACTTGTTTTGTAAATGAGTAATATTTTTTTAAATATCCTAAATTTTTTGTAAAATAGATCTCGTTTTAATGACCATATTTCACACTACAGAATAAATAAATTTCATTTTGATGTATTTATATGGAACAACGCGTTTCGCATAGCTTACTTTTTGCATAATAAACTTTTTCACGGAACGAATTAAGGACGTTATGCGAGGTACCACTGTATTTGCATGGTTGATGTTATAGTAAACAGTAATAAAATTTATTGCTGAAACATTCAACCAAATATAGAATATAAATAGGTCACTACCGTGATTGTTAGTAAGTCAAATACAAAATGAACTTAAAGGCAAAATGATAATTAAAGGCAAAACTCAGTAGATCGCAAGACTTGTATAAAATCTTATAGTTTCTACTATTCAATTATTTTTTAATATAATTATATAAATAGAATATTAGGTTTGTAATTGTCCTTA